TTTTTTACTTTTTCTTTATTTTTTACAATTCTCTTTTACTTTTTCTTTATTTTTTACAATTCTCTCTCCTACAGGGCTCTCCAGCAATGATATCTCTGCCTCTCTCTCTCACATCAAAGTGAGGTGAGGAGAGGGGCAGAGACAATGTGTCAGCCAGTGATTTAAAATCATTGGCTGACACATTGTAACAGTGATCGCAGTGACTGGCTGTCACTGCGATCACAACCTGCAGATCACTACGGATGTGCCACAGGGGACCTGCCTGGGTTGCCAGGCAGGTCCCCCCACCGTGATCTGCAGATTGGGAGGGATCGGGGAAACGTGGGTGGGCTTAAACGCCACGGTGTGCTATGCCGCCGTGAAGGCGTTTAAGCCCATTAACGCTGGGACGGCATAGCACGCTGTAACGGCGTTAACGGGTTAACATTAAGTTTTGTTATAAGGTCAGACAATTCAGTCATCGTTGGACTAAGCCTTTAGTAGTGTGTGTAGAATTGCACTCACTCCTATAAATCTGAGCCAGGGTGCTTTCTGAACCGGAATCAAATACCAGATTTCCAAAAATTAATAAAGTAATAGAGGTCCAGGCACTCCTTGGTTCAAGACAGGTACTTTATTAGGAACCACAACAGCAACATTTCGACCCCAAAAGGTCTTTGTCAAGCTGATACATACATCAATTTTACAATATATATAACAAACTTTACACAATCACAATTATAAAATACACTTGTGAATCAGTATCCTAAGCAAGTAGTTTGACAGCTGGAAGTACCGTAGTATACTGCTTATCAACAATACTGAATTAATTACATTAATTAGAAATAGAGTCTAATACTTAATTGACAATAACGAACGAGCTTTGAAAGATTTATTAATTTGTTGATACAGGAAAAAGAAAAAGAAATATATATATTATTTTTATATGGATACTGACATAACATCTGTGACGAAATGCCTTTTGTCACTGGATTTTTAGGTGACAAGCTGCCCTTTGCCCCTGGCTGTTGGAGGAGCCTGATTGCCATCCTCCTTCCTCATAACTATGGCCTCGGGTAGATTTTGCCCTTTAAAAACAATATTTGGCCATATCGGATTTTATTTCACTACTTCTGGCCTTTTAAATACTATGGGGAAGGATTGGTACTTTTTATAGTGCAGAAGTAGTCGAAGTGGCCACTGTTCGACAAATGAATATGCTTCGGATAAAGTCGAAGTGCGTTCGACAATTGGAACGCCAGATTACACTGTGCTATTTGCACGAACGGGGCCCGTTTTTCTATGTGAACTGACTTTAACATTGGAAATAGACCTGCCGCACAGCCAAGCTCTGTGGAACTGTTTTGGGCAGGAAATCCTGCGTGCGGTCGGTCAAAAGAGGCTTCCCCAAAACTTTAACCCCATGGCAAATTTACTTTGTTCATGGGATCTGAGCGCTGTTCATCTATATAGGGCGCTCAGATCCGAGCTATCTGGGGATAGGTTAAATGTGGGGGTTCTGTGTAATATGATAAGAATTATGTATTTTTATGTACTTTTTTCGTATTTTTGCTGTTAGTGTAAAATTTAGATATTTTCTGTACCTGGAGATAATTGAGTTTACTGCAGTGCCTTAAGCCAATTATCTCCAGGATGGAGAGGAGGGATATGATTGTGTACATGGGAGTGTTATTATGTTAATTAGTGTTCCCATTGGTTTGTGTCCATTTTGTCGCAGTTTACCACCAGGTCCAGGGTGTGTGCCTCTGACCTGAAAACTTGTATATAAGGAGCAGTGGCGGCTCTAGACTTGGCAAGGCCTTAGGTGAAACTCATACGTGAGGCCCCCACTAACACCATTATTGAAAAAAATAGCAGTTGATTTGTGTGTGTATAAGAATCTGTAGATATACTGAAGGGGGAGCTTGCAGCACTGGATATAGTGAGCTAGTCTTTGTATACATTGTTGCATTGTCTACCTGTGTGTGTCTGGCAGTGAGGATCCTTGTATATGTATGTAAAATTACATAGTGTGAGGGGTGGTGACAGAGTGTGAGGGGTGGTGATAGAGTGTGAGGGTTACATTAGTGTAAGGGGTGTGATAGAGTGAGAGGAAGGGTGACATAGTGAAGGTGGGTAACAGAGTAAGAGGGGAGTGTCAGAGTAAGAGGGTGGGTGACATAGTGTGATGGGGTGACAGAGTGAGAGGGAGGGTGACAGAATAAGAGGGGGTGACAGTGTGACGGGGTGAAAGTGTGAGGTGGGGTGACCTAGTGTGTGGGGAGCGACAGAGTGAGGTGACAGAGTACGGGCGGGTGACAGTGTGGGGGGGTCACAGGGTGAGTGACAGAGAAAGAGGGGGTGACAGGGTGAGAAGTGGTGTGACCGTGTGAGAGGGTGAGACCTAGTGTGAGAGGGGGTGACGTAGTGAGAGAGGGTTACATTAGTGTAAGGGGGGTGACAGAGTGAGAGGAAGCGTGATATAGTGAAGGTGGGTAACAGAGTAAGAGGGGGGTGTCAGAGTAAGAGGGTGGGTGACATAGTGAGAAGGAGGGTGACAGAGTGTGGCAGAATAAGAGGGGTGACATAGTGTGAGGGGGTGAAAGTGTGAGGTGGGGTGACCTAGTGTGTAGGGAGCGACAGAGTGAGGTGGCAGAGTACGGGTGGGTGACAGTTTGGGGGGTCACAGGGTGGGTGACAGAGTAAGAGGGGGTGACAGGGTGTGACAGAGTGTGTGAGGGAGGGTGACATAATGTAGGGGGGTGAAGGTGTGAAGGGGTGGAATAGTGTGAGAGGGGTGTGACCGTGTGAGAGGGGGTGACAGAGTGTGAGAGGGGGTGACCGAGTGTGTGAGGGTGGAGACCTAGTGTGAGAGGGGGAAGACAGATTACAGGGTAACAGATGAGGTGACAGGTGGGGTGGCAGGGTGATGGGGTGGCAGGGTGAGGGGGTTGGCAGAGTGACGGGGTGACAGGTGGGGTGGCAGGGTGAGAGATGGGGTGACAGGTGGGGTGACAGGTGGGGTGGCAGGGTGAAAGGGTGAGGGGGTGACAGGGTGGCAGGGTGAAAGATGGGGTGACAGGTGGGGTGGCAGGGTGACAGATGGAGTGACAAGTGGGGTGGCATGGTGAGAGTGGGTGAGGGAGGTGGGGTGGCAGGGTGAGAGGGGGTGACAGGTTGGGTGACAGGGTGAGAGAGGGGTGACAAGTGGGGTGAAAGGGTGAGAGGGGGTGACAGGTGTAAGAGAGGGGGGACAAGTGGGATGGCAGGGTGAGAGGTGAGGTGACAGAGTGAGAAGTGGGGTGGCAGAGTAAGAGTGTGACAGGTAGGGTTAGAAGTGGTGACATGGGGTGACATGTGGGGTGGCATGGTGACAGGGAGGTGACAGGTGGGGTGGCAGGGTGACGGGGCAGGGGGTGGCAAGGTGACAGGTGGGGTGGCAGGGTGACAGATGGGGTGACAGGATGGCAGGGTGACAGATGGGGTGACAGGTGGGGTGACATTTGGGGTGGCAGGGTGACAGATGGGGTGACAGGTGGGTTGGCAGGGTGACAGGTGGGGTGGCAGGGTGACAGATGGGGTGACAGGGTGACAGATGAGGTGACAGGTGGGGTGGCGGGGTGACAGATGGGGTGGCAGGGTGACAGATGAGGTGGCAGGGTGACAGATGGGGTGACAGGGTGGCAGTTGGAGTGACATGTGGGGTGGCAGTGTGACAAATGGGGTGACAGATGGGATGACAGATGGGGTGACAGATGGGGTGACATGTGGGGTGACATGTGGGGTGGCAGGGTGACAGGTGGGGTGGCAGGGTGACAGGTGGGGTGGCAGGGTGACAGATGGGGTGACATATGGGGTGACAGGGTGGCGGGGTGGCGGGGTGGCAGGGTGGCGTGACAGATGGGGTGACCGATGGGGTGGCAGGGTGAGGGGTGACAGGGTGAGGGTGGTGACCGGTGGGGTGGCAGAGTGAGGAGCTGACAGGGTGAGGGTGGTGACCGGTGGGGTGGCAGAGTGAGGGGCTGACAGGGTGAGGGGGATGACAGGTGGGGTGGCAGGTACCTTTTTCCTTGGTGGTCCAGTGGTGGCAGACTCCCTGGTGGTCCAGTGGGCTCTCCGGCAGAGCTGCAGACCACATGGTGAATGTCTCGCGATCTCCGGTCAGAGCGTTGCTCGAGTACCCGACATGTCAGTCTGCTCTATGGCGGTTTAGGCGGCCGCGAGGCCCCAAACAGCGTGAGGCCTAAGGAGGCCGGCTTAACCACCTAATTAGAGAGCCGCCTCTGATAAGGAGTAATAAACGCTCATTGGAGTCAGATCATCTTGTACCTTCATGAAGTTTCAGCTCATGTTTGGAGGATTGGAGAACTACACTCTGGGGATTGCTATAATCACTATACTCTCCAGGGTATACTCACTAAGCTCTGCTAAGAGCTTGTTCCTGTTCCTGTTCTCTGGAATTCGGAGAAGGTGACCTACTGGAAGCTGGACCCTGGTCTTGGGTCCAGAGTGGGTGGAGACGGCGGGACCCCAACCAAGCTGCGGTGGTTCATGGGAGTCTACAGTGGTTATGGTGTCTGGCGGAGTGCTTGGAGTCCTCGGGAAGCACTAGGAGCATCCATCAATGGAAGGTACCAAGTCGGGGTGCAAACGGTTCCGTTACCACATCCAAGTGTATACAGGACATAAAATACACATATACAGCATAAATATAATTCAAAGATAAGACCAGAGTATACAAGTACAGAAATTTCCATTATCGATTAGAAATCCTTCATCAAAATCACAGAGTATTAATATTAAGTATTCTTAACACATATAGCACATCAAGTTCAACGAGTTTTCATATATAGAAGAAAGTGTGTATAAAGAGGATCTTGCGAGGACCTCTCGATCACATGGATGGCATAGCCGTCCATGTCAATGCCAGCATGGAAAGTGCCTGTAATGACAGGTACTCCCCCTGCTGCCTGAAAAAAAAAAAAAGTTTAAAACAAATGATATATACTTGGATATATGACCTAAGTGTGTGTGTGTGTGTGTGTGTGTGTATATATATTATATATATATATATATATATATATATATATATATACACACACACACACACACACACACACACACATAAATACACACACACTCTCTAAGTGTATTTTAATATTAATATATATACCTATCAAAATACATGTAGAATGATATTGATTAAATATATATATAATTATCATTATATATATTTATATATAATATAAAATAAATATGTAAATACGTAAAAAATAAAATTAAAAAATTAAAAATAAATTAATATATACATAAAAAAGTAATTTCATTCTAACTGTATTTTAAAATGAATATATATATATATATATATATATATATATTGATATCAAAATACATGTAGAACGAAATAAAATATATATCTATTGTGACAGATCCATCTGTATAGACTGGGATTGCTGGTTCGTCTGTTTTGCCTTATTCATGGAATTACCCATTCGTATGCCCCTGTTCAGTGAATTGACTTTTCCGCCGAACAAAATTACCGAACGGACGGCCACCCAGAAGAGAAGTGTGCTGCTGATTAACCTCTTGATCCCAATTAGAACGTTGTGGTTAACCGCAGACACTTCTCAATTAAAACCGAATGCAGAGTGGTCGTCGTTCGTATGTCGACCACGAGGCGGCGGCCATTTTAAACCATGCAAAAGACCAGGGGTGCTCGGCATTGATTTCATGGAACTGAAAACTGACACTTTCTGCAGAACAGCGCTGAAGCCGCCGACCTCCCTTCTCCATCGACAGAAGGATGCGAACACCGGCCGTTCGAGAGGTTTAAACACACGAATGGACTTACCCCAGATAGCCTTCCCATGGAGTCAATCGCATACCGAAAGACTGTAATAGACTTTGACTCCATGGCGATTGAACTATGCGTATGGGATCTGAGCGCTATTCGCCAATAATATGCACTCAGATCCAGGCTATCTAGGGATACGTGATACGAATGGGTAGCATTCGACAAATGCAAAGTTATATATTTGTATGTGTTTTTCTGTGTTGAATTTAAAATGGCGTTTTCCTGGGCTACCATACGGTCTCAAAGGCAATGTAACCAATCTGACGAATTTCAATGTAAAAAAACTTAAAAATGCAACGTGCTATATTTGACCATGTAACTTCCCACAACACCATAAAACCTGTACTGTTTTACACGTGAGACATTGCTGACTACAAATATGTGTATTTTAGTGCAGTAAAATCAAACAGTATTATGGCATTCACAGTTAGAATGTCAAGAAGAACTAAACATTTTTTTATTTTTATTTATTTTCTCCCATTTTTTTATATTTTAGTCAGATTAAATTATGTTTCATACCTAAATATTTGATGTTAAATAAAAGCCCTGTTTCCCCTGAATACAACGATATATAATAAGTGTGGGTGCACATAATACGAAAGAGGCGAATTACGCCTGAACAGACATATAGCGCAAATTCAAGTTTTTGTTTACGTTTTGTTTTGATCACAACGTGTACATTTGGCTCAGTCCTTAAGGAGTTAAAAGACAAGCTTTCAAGAGTTTTCTTCTCTCCCTCAGGTCTGAAGCAATACTGATTCATCTGATAGAGTTTAACACTTAAATAAGCATTTCACTGCCCACAAGTAAAAAAAATAATTATAATTTTCAGGCATCTATTCATTGAGGGTATGTTAAAAGAGTTTGCAAAGATTTCAGATCTTATGTACTGTAGCCTTAGCAAGTCCACCCCTTTTTTTTGCCAAAGAGACTTTCACATTGAGAAGCCTCTGAATTGATGCAGTCATCCACACGCACACAATGGATCATGCACACGCATGCACAGTTACCTATACACGCACCGGCTTATTGTGGCCAGCGTAAGGCACACCTGTGCAATAATCATGCTGTCTAATCAGCATATTGATATGTCACACCTGTGAGGTGGATGGATTATCTCAGCAAAGGAAAAGTGCTCACTAACACAGATTTGTGAACAATATTTGAGAGAAATATGCCTTTTGTGTACATAGAAAAAGTCTTAGATCTTTGAGTTCAGCTCATGAAAAATGGGGGCAAAAACAAAAGTGTTGCGTTTATAATTTTGTTCAGCATGTAGGGGTGGTGGTTATAAGACCAGGGAAAGATTAAGAGCCCAGTGGGCCTGGTGCTGACAGTTATGATAGGGCCTAATTACAGAATCTTATCGACCAAAAACTCTAAAACAGTCATACCTCTCAAGCGTCATGTATCTGATGGAGTTGGTGCTGGAGGGAAACTCAAAGGATGCATATAAGAAAACACATACTCTATGCTAATTACTTTATCTAATTTATGCTTTCATCTTTCAAGTAAATCCATATCCCCTAACAGCAGTGTCCAGTGAAGCAGGAAGTCAATGGGCGTGGTAAAAAGGTGGGCCTCTGACTCAAATCAAGTGACCAGAACTGCCAAAAGGGGTGAAAATGCCCATAAAGGGGGCATGTTTGTCCAAAGAATTAGAAGGCCAGTCTGGCATCAGTGTACCTATGTATCACAGTGTCAGAGTCCCCATGTCGCCCAGTCCCCTAGTCTCCCAGTGTCTGTGTCCCCATTTATCCTTGTGTCCCCATGTCTCAGTGTATCACTAGGATACTAGGGGACACTGAGAGACATGGGGACACTGAGAAACCCGGGGACCCTGAGACAATTGGGGACACTGGGAGACATAGGGACACTGAGACACATGGGGAGACTCGCAGACATGGGGCACTTGTGGATACAGACATGGGGACACTGGGAGAAATGGGGACACAGACACTAGGGACACAGAGACATGGGGGCACAGATACAAGGAGACATGGGGATACAGACATTTGGGGAAACTAAGACACTAGGGACACAGAAACATGGGAACACAGACACTGGGAGATTAGGGGACACTGGGAGACATGAGGACACAGACACTAGGGACACTGGCTGGGAGGCATGGGGACACAGTCATGTGGGGACACTGGGAGACATAGGGGCACTTGTGGACAGACATGAAGACACTGGGAGACATGGGGACACTGACTCATTTGGAGACACTGGGAGACATGGGGGCACTAGGGACACAGAGAGGCCTCATGAGAGCAGACAGCGGCAGGCCGACGAACCGGCAATCCCACCTGGTGGAAAACTTGAGAGCCCCTGCCACAGCCGCACTAACCCTCACCCGACAAAATTTCAAAGATGGCGCCGCAGACGGAGGCCTCTCCCGCATGAGTGAAAACAGACACGATCGACCCATACAGCGATGCCGGCTTGAAAGGGCCCAAGGGCCCCCACTAGTCCCAGAACACGGTAGAGTACCACAACGCGACCACCAGCAAGCTGCCCTGCCTCACAGCACTGAGCACAGCCACCCCCTAAGAGAGCCCCAGCGACCCAGACGAAGACACCACCTACCGGCAACATCAGCACAGACCTTCATAGCGACAGGCAGCCGAGTAAACCAACGGTTCCCACAATGCTACACCTTGCTCGACACCAGCAGGACTCTCAAGCACCCGCAAAGCTCCCTCATAAATGGGGCATAGGCTGACAGGGCACCCCGCAGGAGAATGCAGAAGCACCCTACATCATGCCTCTGCCGCTCAAGACGCTGCCCAGACCCTACAACAGCCTCCATAACCGAGAATGGTTTAACACTTAAGTAACCCTCAATGCCTGAATGTGTTTTATCCATCTTGTTTCTCCCTTAAGCGTTTAGCATTCTTATACCAACAGCCTCCTAATTATACCATGTTAAGTTATACACATGAGGCCAGGTCCTCATATGGCCGGTTGCCCGCTACCCACTTTTTGCTAAGCCTGTTGCCAGGCACCCTCCTGGGTCCATCTACCTTACTTACACTCTTGTCTTATAAGTATGTATCATACCAAAGTATTCATGTCACCACACACATCTGAGCGACGCATAGTCACCGCTACACTCATACACCTAAACACACAGGTCATACATCACTAAAGATGTGTGCAGATATTTCTTGTATTTTCCTTTAATATAAAAATGTGCTAACACAGCAAAATGAAGCAAAGTATTAACTCTCGATGATCTATGCCTTACGTAACCTGTTTCATTGTAACATTTGCATGCCCTTGCACTCATTGTGATTAGGCAGGGGAAATTGTTCACTTGTGCACAATAAAAATAAAGAATTTAAAAAAAAAAATGCATAAAAAAACGAGAATCTTGTTTCAGTATTGCTTCACAAGAATATAGCATTGAGTAATAATTGAAAATAAGGAACGCTTAATTAGCTATAAGCAGTATAGTCCGTTAGACTTCAGTATATAGAGTTCCCAGAGCAGGTGATTCCTGTAGTTGGAAAGTAACACAGTCCATTAACTTGAACCAGTTAATACTGGCAATTTTATATATCCTGATATAAGAAGTGGTTATAGTCTTTCAGACTCCAGTAATAATAATAATTAACATAAATGAGCAATTTAGCAAATGTTAGCAAGTGGAATCCCAGAGAGCAGACTTTAGTATTCCTTTTTATTCCAAAATAACTTTAGGTAAGAACCAATTAGTAATCCCAATTACTAATGTTCTTTCCAGAGTAGAGTGTATTATGGTTCCCAGAAGTAAGTGGGGAGATTTAGGAATCCAAAGTGAAGTATGTTCCTTGTCGGGGGCAGAGCGTAGCCAGGATCAAAGAAGAGAGGTTTGGTATACAGGTAATCAGTGAGCAGAGCTCCATCAGGAAGCGGAAACAATGTAGCAAGTAACGAAAGTACATCAAAGATGAACAAACATTGATTGAGCAATAGGGATGTGGTCGCGGCTTCCTTGTGAAGGGAAGTGGGCTCGGAAGTCATATGGGTAATGCCGATTTGTCTGAAAACAATATGGAGGGATTCCGAAACAACATGGAGGAATCCTGACAGTTATTGTCTGGGGTAGAATTGTGAAAGGAATTGGGGTTGATATGCAATGTGCGAGTATGTTGACAAGGACCTTAAATAATTTGTTATTTTTTTAGTTATTAAAGCTGAGATAATTTTTTTGCTAAGATAGGTTTGAGCTTGTTGGTAGCTCAGAACCAGGTGTGTGTAGGGTATATCTCGGAATACCCATACATTGTGAAAATTGGAAAATCTTGCCCTCAGTGGCAATGGTTATGTATTATTGTATATGTTATAATGGGGTATCAGTTATTATATATGTGGGTCATTATCTGGGGTAGAATTGTGAAAGGGATTGGGGTTGATATGCAATGTTCGAGTATGTCGACAATCACCTTAAATATTTTATGTTATCTTTCCAAGATATCTGCTTGGGGCAAACAAAGGGAAATAAATTATTGGTTGGGATAGGTTATAAATAGTGATGTCGCGAATGGTTCGCCATGAACCGTTCACCACGAACTCCAGTCAGCAGACACATCCCGGCCAATCTGCAGCAGATCCTCCCTCCCAGACCCTCCCACCTCCTGGACAGCATCCATTTTGAAGGCAGCTTCAAAATATTACATTTCACAGTATGTATCATTGGGTAATAAATATAAAAGAAACAAATTAAAACCAATGTGGCTTAGTAGATAAATAAAACAAGAGATTAAAAATAAGAAAAGGGCATTTAAAGCATTTAAATCGGACAAATCAGAGGCATCCTATATAAGATATAAGGAAGCCAATAATACTTGCAAAAAAGCAATTAAATAGGCTAAACTAGAAAGTGAGAAATTGATAGCCAAAGAATGCAAAACCAACCCCCAAAAAATGTTCAAGTACATCAATTCAAAAAAAATAAATAAATAATGAAAGTGTAGGTACACTGAAAACAGAGATGGGTCTGTTAGTTAATGAAGACCAGGAAAAGGCAGAAATTTTAAATAATTATATTTCTTCAGTATATATTAATGAGGATCCTATGGCAAGAGATAAGCAAATGATTGCTGCAACAAACTGATAACTTGTGATTGGATAACTCGAGACAAGGTGTTACAGCTATTAAGGAAAATTAATGTAAATAAAGCTCCGGGGCCTGACGGTATCCACCCACGAGTACTTAAGGAGCTAAATGGGGAAATAAGTGAACCTCTGTATTTAATTTTTCAAGATTCTTTTGTTTCAGGTATTGTACCGAAGGATTGGAGGAAGGCAGATATTGTTCCTATATTTTAAAAAGGGTTCAAAATCCTTCCCTGGAAATTATAGACCTGTGAGCTTAACTTCTGTGACTGGGAAATTATTTGAATGGCTATTAAAGGATAATATTCAGGAATTCACTGGGAAGAACTGTGTTATTAGCAATAGACAGCATGGTTTTAAGAAACATAGATCATGTCAAACTAACCTAATTGCATTCTATGAAGAAGTAAGTAGAAGTATAGATCAGGGTGTTGCAGTGGATGTGATCTACTTGGATTTTGCCAAGGCATTTGATACGGTTCCTCACAATAAGTTAGTCTTCAAACTAAAAGAAATTGGTCTAGATGAATATTCTTGTTCTTGGGTAGAACATTGGCTTAAGGATAGAGTACAACGAGTTGTCATTAATGGTAAATTTTCAAGCTGGACAAAAGTGGCAAGTGGTGTCCCTCAGGGTTCTGTTTTGGGACCGCTTCTATTTAACATATTTATAAATTATCTTGAAATGGGCATTGAAAGCCATGTAGCAGTGTTTGCAGATGACACAAAACTTTGTAAAGTAATAAAATGTGAGCAGGATATTGCCTTGCTGCAGAAGGATTTGGATAGATTGGGGGACTGTGCACTAAAATGGCAGATGAAATTTAACGTAGAGAAATGCAAAGTTATGCACTTCGAGGTTAAGAATGCACAAGCAACTTACACCCTAAATGGTAGTGAACTAGGGATAACCACACATAAGAAGGATTTGGGAATTGTTATAGACAACAAATTAGGCAGCAATATGCAATGTCAATCTGCTGTTGCTGTGGCCAGTAAGGTTTTGTTATGTATAAATAGGGGCATAAATTCTCGAGATGAAAATATAATTTTGCCTCTTTATAAATCGCTGGTAATATGCTGTGCAATTTTGGGCACCTGTTCTAAAGAAGGATATTATGGCACTAGAAAAAGTGCAGAGACAAGCTACAAAATTGATAAAAGGAATGGAGCATTTTAGTTAAGAAGAAAGGTTAAAACATTTGAATCTCTTTAGTATGGAAAAACGGTGCCTGAGAGGGGATATGATAACATTATACAAATATATTCGGGGCCAGTACAAACCATTATCTGGAAATCTATTCATTAACAGGGCTATACATAGGACACAAGGTCACACATTTAGGCTGGAAGAAAGGAGATTTCATCTAAGGCAAAGAAAAGGTTTTTTTTACAGTAAGAGCAATAAGGATATGGATTTCTTTGCCTGAAGATGTGGTTTTGTCAGAGTCTATACAGATGTTTAAACTGCAATTGGATAAATACTTGCAAAAACATAACATACAGGGATATAATTTCTAATTAGTGGGGTAATAGCTGCTTGGGGTCAGGAAGGAATTTTTTCCTAGCTTGTTGCAAAATTGGAAGGGCTTCAGACTGGGTTTTTTGCCTTCTTTTGGATCAACAGCAAAAACATATTTGAGGAAGGTTGAACTTGATGGACGCAAGTCTCTTTTCAGCTATGTAACTATGTAATTATGTATGAAAGTTATTAAAACTGGGATAATTTTTCCCCAAAACAAGGTGCATGAGTCTTCTTGGAGGATTATGGGTATTAAAAAGTGTAGCAGACCCCGGGTAACCCAACTGGTTACCCCTGCTAATTCCTTCTCTCAGTCAGGCTGGAACCATTAAAGCAAACAGACATCCATTCCCCAAGTAACCAGACAAAGCATAGTTCTAGGATTCAACTGATTTATTTCAGGTCACATACGACTTTATGCACAGACCCCTACATCGAATCTCCAATACAATAATACAGTGTTTTTCTTCCCTGGATCCTTTGTACCTGAGAGATAATTGCATTTTTTTGTCAGGTACAAAACATCTATACAAAATATACAGTACACCAAATGAACCCACACCAAAACTAGGAACTTTTGGCCACAAAAATGCCTCTAAAAAAACTCCTGGAAAGAGCTAGAGAGCTGCAAAAGCAAAAGCAAGTAAAATGGGGGTAAGAGTATCCAAACAAATGTGGATAGGGAAATCACTTAAAATAACATAAAAATTAAAAATACAGCTGAGCCATAAAATAGCACTAGTTGGAATCTTTGATTTTAGCTTTGGAAGAACATAAATCAAAATCTAAAGCATGGCTGTCAGGAGGATCAACAGAATTATCCATTTGAGAGAGGGTTGGAGTGCAGGGTATTCTCTTTCATTGTTCAAACTGAGCTCAACTTCTGATGCATCAAGAAAGGCCTTCAAAAGCCTCTGCTATTGTGTACATAGTTTATACTAAGTGACCCATAGGTTGAAGAGGCGGTGACCATGGCAGTGGAGGAGGAGAAGGATGAGGTAGCCAACACTGTTTTTTATGGGTTTTTTTGTGATTGTGGTAGCCCACAAGATATTGGGTCATACAACAAAATAAACATTTGCAGCCTGCGGTGCATTTCTTGCAGTCCTGATGCATGGAGAAAAGGCCTTCACAAGCCTCTGCTAATGTGTACCTAGTTTATACTAAGTGACCCATAGGTTGAGGAGGCGGTGACCATGGCGGTGGAGGAGGAGGATGAGGTAGCAACACCTGTTTTTATATATTTTAATTGGGGTAGCCAACAAAATATTGGGACATATAAAAAAAGACAACTCTGTTTCGCAGAGTAGCTGTTGACATTATAGTTGTCCAGGAACTTTGTTGACTCTAGAGACCCTCGGGCAAATCGCACATCCCCGTGGTTGCGAATTTGCATGCGGATGTCATCCATATCAACTTTCAATGCCAGTTTGTGCGCCTACCATGGTGACCACGGGTAACGGGGAATCAGGGTTCCATTCCGTACAGGCACCCTGAGAAACGGCTACCACATGCAAGGAAGGCAGCAGGCACGCAAATGAACCACTCCCGACGCGGGAAGGTAGTGACGACAAATAACAATACAGGACTCTTTAGAGGCCCTGTAATTGTAATGAGTCCACTTGAAATCCTTTGACTTTGATCAATTGGAGGAAAGTCTGGTGCAGAGCCACTGACCCGTGCGTGCTGCAGCTGAAACTCCACTATCGCTTGCTGCTGCTCGCACAGTCTCATGAGGTGGTGAGCGGGAAGGCCGAAGTTACACTGCAGCACAGACAGGCGAGCAGCAGCAGGGTGACAATGCCAAAAGCGCGCACAGTCGCTACAGTGAATGTCACATCCTGATCCAAGTTGCAGATCAGTCTGGTGATGGCTTCTGGTATAAAGTATTCTTTTTACTGAAGCTGCATCAGGGTCCTGGTATGTCGCCGCACAAACGCTGGTGCTCAACACCCAGGGGTTGTGCGGTTACCCTGCACCAGACCCTGCTAATCCATTCCACACTGTGACTCCTAACTTCAACATCAGGCATACTGGGTCTCGGTCGTCCGACCGCCGCCGTCTGGGTCCTGGTCACAGGACTGCCCACCTCACTGTGAAACTACAAATGCAGTTCGGGTTCGCACAAGTCTATTATGGATCCTTTGACCGCTACATGTATTACTTGGGTAACTGGTAATTCTCGAGCTAATACATGCCGAAGAGCACTAGGGGACGGCCGCTCAGCTTTTGCACCCTGCTCCCTCTTATGCTGTGCTGGTGCCTCTGTGTGACCAGCGCCTCTTCCTCCAAACTGCACACGTCACTCGCATGACCTGATTCCATGTGGGGTCTAGGACCTCATCATCATCCACATCATCTTCCACCCATTCCTCAACCCTGCCCTCCTTGCCGGTATACACACACTGCAGAAAGCCACAGCAGTTGGCACCTGTGTTTTTCCAGCATGTAAAGTCTGCAAAGGACATATGGAAATTGTTTTAGAATTGTATCCAGGCAACAGTTTTCCCTATAAACTGACCTCTCAGTTTGACTTGTGAGGGTATTTCCCCAGAATAACAATATTGTTGAAGTACCTCTTAGCTATTGATCACTGGTTTAAATATAGCAGCTTGTTATCTGGTAGTTTGTAGTGTAGAAAATATCAATCTGTTTTCTATCACTTAGATCTGTGTAACAAGTGTTGTAGGTGTGAAACAATATTACAAGTGACCGATGTAGTAAATTCGAATCCATTTGCAAAAAAAATTCTCGCCCATCTTCTGTGGGTTGTTGCATTTTTAAGATGTAGACGTATTGTATCACACTAGCCATGCACAGGTAGATTGTCTGGCATGTTGTTTTGGTGTTTGGTTTTTAACTTTGTAGTTGTGTCTTTACACAATATAGAAATGTATAGCCTGATTTTAAAAAAAAATAAAATCAGGCTACACAAAAATTGGTGATAAACAATATGACATCTGAAAAGCACATGAAAGGATGCTGTATGATTTAAAAAAAAAAAAAAAAAAGAACACACTACATGAAGGTCATGTTCACTAGAGTGTGTAGTCATGAATGTAACCAGTAAAACTTTGTTTACAGCCACTGGTTGGCCCATACATATTTTAATATTTTGTTGTAGCATGACTTGTAGATATGAAGAGCAGGCCCCAAAATGTACAATTTAGCAGATTAGCACCCAGAAAATTAGAATTTTTACAAGTGCTCTGTAAGCACACTATTAGACGCTTCGATTTGACTCTTAGATATGAAGGGCACGCCCCAAAATGTACTATTTAGCAGTTTAGCATCAAAACAATTAGAATGTTTACAATTGTGCTGTAACGACAGTATTAAACACTTCAATTTAACTCTAAGATATGAAGAACAGGCCACAAAATTTACTATTTAGCAGATTAACACCCAGAAAATAAGAATGTTTACAACTGTGCTCTAAGCTGTGGGGATATTTATGGGATGATAATATTATACAGTTGAGAATTGCCCACTATTTCAATTCTCTTAGATCTTAGAGATCGTTATCATGTAAGTTAAATGTATTCCATACAGATAACATCACAATTTGTTATAAAAATAGATATAATTTATTGTGACAAATTAAATATTAGGCAGCATGCATGATAATAATCAGTGAATATTTAGTATAACATAAGTATGCAATGGCAATGGCTAAACACAGTACAAAGCTACAGCGTAAGCTGTCAAGACTTACACGATTTATGAGGGTACATCAAACACAGAAATCTAAACTTCCAGCGAAAAGCCATAAAACCTTGGCTACCAGTTAGATCAACTGAGTAACCCTTTCAATGCTGGCTAGATCCTCCTAGGCATATATCCTATTCTCATGTAATTTTCAATTAAAATAACATTCAAACCAGCTCATTAGTCATTTCCTGGAACCATCCTATAAGAGTAATCTACCAGATTTTTACAAAAGCCGAATTTAACGCTACCTAAGATATATTATCTTATTTTAGAGCAAATCAATACACATGGATAAAAACAGCGGTATGCTAACACGTGGTAAGATACCAGTACTTATGTAATTATCTGACTCCACCTGCAGAATGGAGTGTTATAACCACATTCTTTAGTTAACTAATATTTCTCAATTATCGAAATCTGACCGTGATTTATCCAGTCATACATTGTTCTCTTTAGATGAGTAGGTAGTCCCAGGAACTTGAATGCGAGTATGATTGATTGTATGGAGGTGCGTAAGTAATAGAGAAAAGTGATGTTGGTTAGAAAGTAATAGTAAAATTCTAAGTGTCAAGGAGTGTTTATTGAGATGTGTCCAAGAGAGTTTGAGGGTTAGTGCCAGAGTATCTGTCCTGTAACTCTCTGAATGTCCGAATCTGAATGCCCAAACTAACCTTCTCTCTATCCCTTGTCCTAACTTTTAAAGCGCCAGACTCTCTGTACGTCATTAGTTGATAAGGCCAATAGGATACTGAAGGTGTGGTCAACCTGCAGATCACAATTTAGATATTTGATCCATAGAGGGCAGTCGCACCTCACTAAACCTTCATATCCTGGAAAGTATTAACGTTTCCTGATGACGATTTTGACATCATTTGGCTTATCTAAAATGACCACCATAACTTAAATTTGCTGTCACTTCAAAGCGTTTGCCTCAGTCTTTCTGGCAACTACTTTGATCGTAAATTCTAAAATTGATAGTTCTAAACTCAATTTCACCCCTTACTTACATGGGACCTTGTAAAATTTAGAGAGTCAAATGAATTACTTAGTCTTCTCTGTCATTAGTGTCTGTGTTTACAATTATTTCTATTCCATTAACATTTAAACAGAGCATTCCATCCCCCTGCTTCATTGTTTATCACTTGGCTTGTTTACATAATGCATTCCTTAGCTCAGGCTAGTGGCTAGTTACAGAAAGGAAATCAATGTTTTGTCTGTCTTGCCTGAAATCCAAAATGGAGTCCGCTCTGTTCTGAGTGACTCTAGCAATATACACTTTTAATTTCTATCTTAGCAGAAAATGTCTGCCAATATAAATATCCTGACATAACCCCCCTTAGTGATTCTCATAGCAATGATTAATTTAGTATTTGAATAAGCACTATAGAAGTTACAAGACATATTGTGCACTCACATCATTTCTACTGACTTAGGCCTGTGCATTGAATGAACATTTTTGTATATTTTAGTACCTTGAGTTTAAACTTTACACTTAGTACAATCAACCATAATATCATTATTATCATTGTAAATTGTTTTCATTTGAAAAATGTTTTTGGGAGATACATATGGTATGGTCAATAAAAAGCAAATCTCCATGCGTTCTGGATCAATTAAGAGAGGTATAGCGCTCCCCATCTCAAAGGCCAGATTTAATTGCATAGGCTCAATTGTTTCTCCATCAACACTGGCATATATCACATGAACAATATCCTTGGATACAAAATACAGAGGTATGCGTCCCCCTGCCAATTCAATCATTCCAGTTTGCACTTCGTCAAGAAAAGCAAGTGTGTGGAACAATATTGGGTCATGCAGAAATAAAAGTTCACACTTAAATAAGTCATGACTTTGGTGCAACTCAGTGGATTTGGCAATTAACTCCGAATGCAAATTTGTTGTAACAACTGTGTCTTCCACAATAGTTAACACGTCTTGGAGAAGTGTTCTTTGCTGGTTTATCACCTGATGAATATCATTAATGTGTTGCTTTAGCGCATAGATTTCCATATCCAGCTTTTGGACAGTAATAGAGTTGGCTGCAGACATTCCAGTTGCGACAACTGCACCGACAGTGGCACAAACAAGTGGCAACAATTATGGCGGTGAGGAACCTTTTGGGTCGGTTGCTCATTGAAATAGTACTGGAAACAAATGGTTTCCGGGCTTGCTCCAAGATGTTTTGCACACGGTCCTGTGCTCTTTGGAGGTGCATCTGGTACCAAGTCTGTAACTCAGGAAGTTGCATCGATGAAATGTTGTATGCCTTCTCGATGGAAATCTTGGGGTCCAAGCTGACGAACACACGTCGGGTCAGGATCCTCTTCTCTGTCAAGATGAACCCTGGTGTCTCTTGAATCAGGATGCCGGAGGATGGTCCCATCTCTGCGATCGGATCGGTCCGTAGCTCTTGGCACAGGAGCAGTACGATCCAGAAACACGCCACATCCTTCTTGGACATCTTTCGACAGTCACAGATTAGGAACTCGTTTCAGACTTATCTACTAATGATTCAAGGTTTGTTAAGCATACAGACTTATAACAGTGTGACATCACTTGGCCTAGGACAACGCATTATTATGATTCATCAACATATGTATTCTGTCTAATTATATTTTTATAACTTCATCCCTCAGTACATTTATTACTGACTCTTCAATAATTCGCCTATAGCAGCTAAACAAGCTAATAACCTGCTTAGAAAATGTAGTTATTGGATGGCAAGGAAATGGTTAATGACATGAACGTACATGAGATCATGGCACATCACAACATTTCACATCATATGATACCATGTGAATCAACCATTCATCCAGGTTAGTCGTTCACCTTTCTGCGTCCGAATCCACACCTATAATCCTTAATTGAGATTTAGGATGACAAGCACGCAACTGGCTAATCTGAACCCACTTTTCAATAAAATCACCATCCTTAGGAATTTTTATCTTATATGCTACTGGGGAAATTTTGTCAATGATGACATATAGCCCTTTCCAAGAAGGTAAACATTTATTTTCCTTAACTTGATTTTCCGCAAAGTTATACAGATAGACTTGATCTGTGATCTCATATTCCTTTTTCGTGGTTTTTAAATCGTAATAGGTCTTAACCCCTGTTGCTGCTTTTTCTAGATTCTTTTGGGCAAAAGCAAACGCATGCTGTAAATGCTTGCGCAAATCTTCGATATACTGATGAGTAGTGGCAGCATTGATCAAGTTATGATCCAAAGTACGATATAGTAAATGCTCTGGTAAAACCCATCTTTCTTTCTGTCATCAATTCATAAGGTGACAATTTGGTAGCAGTGCTAGGCGTAGCTCTAATTGCCATTAAAACTAGGGGCAATTTAATGGCCCAGTCTTTACCAGACTCCTTAACATACTTCTTCAGAATATTAACGATAGACCCCCATCCCCGCTAGACGCAGCACGGTATGCAATATGTAGCTTTTGAACCAAAGTGAACTTAGAATAATATGGATATAACTTCCAGACTCTACTAATCAAATGAGTGGAGCGCTAAAGGTATAAGCTTACCCTAAAATAGAGTAAAATCTCAGATGTATATCAGTACATATAAAGGAAACAAAAAATAAAACACAATATAGTGTAAATCCACAGGTGATAATGTATTTTGGTGATAATTCAAGTAGTCAAACTCACATTGATCAGAGCCTCAAAGGGACAGGCTCAAATCACTTGCACAGTAGTGTCATATGGAGACACTGCACCCTTTTGCCTGGAATGGATTTCCTCAAAGGAGAGAGAGAGGGAGGCTTCCTAGTGTATTAAGTTTCAACCAAAATAAAAAAAAAACACAGTGGTTATGCTCACCTTTTCCTGAGCCAATGAGAACCTGGCTCTGGATGATAGAGCTGGGTACCTCAAGAGGGGGGCACCTGTCCTTCTTTAGCAGCAAGATGAAGTTAGAAGCTGATGGGAATTGATCAGAGCCTTAAAGGGACAGGCTCAAATCACTTGCATAGTAGTGTCGTATGGAGACATTGCACCCTTTTGCCTGGAATGGATTTCCTCAAAGGAGAGAGAAAGGGAGACTTCCTAGTGTATTAAGTTTCAACCAAAATAAAAAAAAACACAGTGGTTATGGTTGTGCTCACCTTTTCCTGAGCCAATGAGAACCTGGCTCTGGATGATAGACCTGGGTACCTCAAGAGGGGGGCACCTGCCCTTCTTTAGCAGCAAGATGAAGTTAGAAGCTGATGGGACTTGGTTTAAAATACATACATTTATTGCAACTTTAAATATAAAAACAAAAACAATCGGTATCCTCATTGTCTTCATGCTGCTTTTTAAATATGCCAGTTTCTTCATCCAGTGAGCAGTCCTTCCATCCCATCCTCCAATCCGGATTTAGCTTCTTGTGAGGTCAGTTTCCTCACCTTCCTTTCATCAGGGTGCTCAGGATCACTTCCGCTCTCACCGCAGCCATCTTGCTTGTGGGCACATACCCTCAAGCAAAACAAACACACAAAAAAACGTGGCAGAACAGGTTGGTTCACCGACACCCATCACCCTAAGTTAAATACATACATATTCCACCCTTTTAAATTGTGCTCAGCACATATTAGAGAAAATGAATAAAACAGAGAAAAGAGGAAGGAAAAAACACACATTGGTACATATTAGTGTCTTTTCATACTTGTTCTTAACAGTATCTATAGTAAATACATATACTGCAGAATGGATTTCTTCCCTATTCATTGTATATTGATTTCATTAATCATTGTCAATTAAAAGTTAAAATAATATAATCAATACAAAATAATTAAATTTGTTTCTGTTACAGTTTCTGTAAATTTTATGAAAAATTGATATAAAATTAATATAAAGGTAATCTTCTTATATTACTTAAATTATTAACATTCTTAATAACGTCAATACACAATGTGCAAAAAAGTGCATATATTTCATGATCAATATTCATTTCCAGTTTTTGTACTAGGGATTAAATCACTCCCCTAAGTGTGTAGTTAATTTCCAATAATTCTAATTAAAATTTAGTATTTAAAAGTTTAAAAAAGTAAAAAGAATAATTTCTTAAAGGGACAGATAGAGAGTACTTTTTAGATAAAATGGCATATCTCAAAGTCATTATTGAGACCACCTGGAATTAGTGTGTTTAAGTTAAAAATCCATTTCATCTCTACCTGTCCCATTTTTTTGATAAGATCGTCCCCTCTCCAGCTGAGCACAATTTAAAAAAGGTGGAATATGTATGTATTTAACTTAGGGTGATGGATGTCACCAACCTGTTCTGCCACTTTTGGACCGCCTATTGGATGAAGAAACCGGCATATTTAAAAAGCAGCATGAAGACAATGAGGATACTGATTGAAAAAGCCCCCATAGTGTGGGTGAAACGTGTCTCGGGACTGGAGCTAATTACTGGGACATTCTTTATCTTATATAGAAGCAACTGGACATTTTTATTTAATTCTATGTTTTTGTTTTTATATTTAAAGTTGTAATAAATGTATGTATTTTAAACCAAGTCCCATCAGCTTCTAACTTCATCTTGCTGCTAAAGAAGGGCAGGTGCCCCCCCTCTGGAGGTACCCAGGTCTATAATCCAGAGCCAGGTTCTCATTGGCTTAGGAAAAGGTGAGCACAACCATAACCACTGTGTTTTTTTAAATTTTTGGTTGAAACTTAATACACTAGGAAGTCTCCCTTTCTCTCTCCTTTGAGGAAATCCATTCCTCAATGCAAGTGATTTGAGCCTGTCCCTTTAAGGCTTTGATCAATTCCCATCAATTCCCATTCCAGGCAAAAAGGTGCAGTGTCTCCATACGACACTACTGTGCAAATGATTTGAGCCTGTCCCTTTTGAGGCTCTGATCAATGTGAGTTTGACTACTTGAATTATCACCAAAATACATTATCACCTGTGGATTTACACTATATTGTGTTTTATTTTTTGTTTCCTTTATATGTACTGATATACATCTGAGATTTAACCCTATTTTAGGGAAAGTTTATACCTTTAGTGCTCCACTCATTTGATTAGTAGAGTCTGGACGTTATATCCATATTTGTACTAAGCTCACTTTGGTTCATTACTATAATTAGTGGGGATAAGAGAGTATCCACTAGAGTGTGTAGCTGCTTATTTTTAACTCAATTACATTTGTAAGCGCATTATACACAGTAATCACCAATCTGTGTAATATGTAGCTTTCGTTTAACACCTAGAATTTTCCACATCTTAGCCATTACTTCGCTGGTAAAATGACTACCTCTGTCTGACTCAATTCTTTGAGGCAGACTGAACCTGGAAAAGACATGGTTAATCAACAAAGTGGCGCACACGGTACTCGTGTTCTCTTTCAAGGTAAACACTCTATCCACTCTGTGTACATACATGTAACGGTTAACATGTATTTGTTACCTCTTGAAGATCTTGTTACAGGACCTATAAAGTCGATTTGAATATCAGACCAGGGTAATGACACCCCCCTCTCCTGAAGTGGTGCACGACGGGTTGGACCATGGGGTTGATATTGCGGACAAATCAAGCATCCCTGACAGTATGTCTTAACATCTCTTAACATGCGTGGCCAATATGCATAATCACGCAATATCTCATATGTGATCTTATCATCACGATGCCCAGATGTAGGTGCATCATGTGCGTGTTGGAGCATTAACCCTCGGTATACAGTTGGGACTACCCATTGTTGTATACCATGTTTAGAAGTTCTGACCAGCAACCCATCCATGATACTAAATTGGACTTTATATCTCATCAAGATTCGTAAATTTTCTTCATTATCATTGCAATCCTCATCTGTGATGGGATTGGCAGTAGGGTCTTCTATATGTCTATAGAATATGCCTATGATGGGATTATTCTTTTGACTGGTAATCAGGTCCTCACTTGGAGCTTCTTGACTCCATTGCACGACATTTAAGTCAGCATTATCTCTAGCCTGTCGTCTAGTTATAGCTTCAACATGAATTGAACCCATAAGATCATCATTGTTTAGGGTTTCACCATTGATGGCAGCTTGTTTTGCCAGTGAATCGGCTAAGTCATTACCTTCCTTGTCAATACCTTCTATTTTAGAATGGCCTTTGGTTTTCTTCCAATATCTGGTTTTCCTTAACCAGTTCATCGATTTTTACAAAACAATTTCCCATGTTTAACAGGTTTGTTATTGCTTTTCAGCATTTGGTTACGTTTCCAACTAGGCAGATATTCGACGAAACTGTTGTGAACATAGTCGGAATCAGTTATGATAATGAATTCTTTGATACCATATTCTATTGCCATTTGAATGGTCTTATATACTGCACAGAGTTCGGCTATCTGATTTTGGAACCAATATTGTATCCTGTAGATACATTGGGATAATCATCTGTCCTGGCGATTCCGATAGCTGCAACTAACTTCCATTCAGCACCAGCGGCGTGGTGATATGAACAACCATTAATGTATACCCACGGTAGTGGCTGACAGTATTCCTCGTCATAAACTTTGTAAGAGGATAGCAATTGCTATTCTAGGAAGTCGTCTCCGGTGTCATTCTCATCCAGTGATAGAGCAGTACAGACATGTAATTCTGCTAATCCTTGGGCAACTGGGCTTCTCTTATGTTTATAACGGACTTCTAACGGCCATCCCTGTAAGGATAGAGTCCATGCAGTAATCCGACTGTTAGAGAAATTACCGTCTCTGATTCTTTCACTCTGCAGATACTGTAGAGGTTGGTGAGCTGTTTCTACAATTATTTTCTCACCTTGGATATAGCTACGAAAATTTTGTAGTGCCCAGACAGTCGACAATAACGCCTTCTCACACGTGTTGAATTTAACTTCAACAGGTGACAAAGTCTTGCTAGCATATGCAATAACTTTGTTTAAACTTTCCTGCTTCTGATACATAACAGCAGTTGTGCTTATATCGGTATATCCTGTCTCTAGATAGAATGGTTTACCCCCCTCTGGGTATGCTAAACAGGGTGCCTGAGTGAGCTTCCTCCTCAGTTCATTTACCGCTTGGTCCTGAGGCTGCCCCCAGTTCCAGGTAGTTTCCTTTTTAAGCAGGTGTAAGAGTGGTTTTGTTATTTCTGCATAGTTATCTATAAACTTACGGGAGTAGTTAGTCATACCAAGGAACGATCTTAATTCCCTGATGTTTGAAGGTGTTTTAGCCTTAATTACAGCTTCAACCTTCTTCTTCTGGGGATTTAATCCTTCAGAAGTTATCTCATGTCCGAGGAAATTGACATGGGTGCGACACCATTGCGCCTTTTGTAAAGACAGTTTAATCCCTGCCTCTCTTAACTGAGTGAGAACATGTCTAATCTCTATGATATGCTTATCAAAGGAAGTGCTTTTCAGCAAGACATCATCGACATATGATAACGTTCCTCTCTCGAGTAGCTTTATGCATGAACACAGCGAATTCATTACCAGAGTTTATGTAACTGAAGGGTATGCGGGTCCAGGTATACTGCTACTTTCCAAATATGAAGGCCAATTTGTATTGGTCTTCATCATGGACTGGTACAGATCAATATCCCTGCACACAGTCAATGGCAGTGAATATTTTGGATCCCTGCATTTGAACCAAACATTGGTCTATGTATGGCACTGGCCAACCAGACATATAGACACATTTATTTAGCTGTCGTAAGTCATTGTCCATTAGGTTTCAGAATCCCCAAGATCTAATTATTATATGAACTGTGCACCGGACGCATAATTCCCCTTTCCTTTAAATTCTGAAAGATGTCTAGTAGACCATCATATGACGCTAATGGGAGTCTATAAAAACAGGTGGTAAATTTGGATCAGTTTGTATTCTGGCTACGTGGAGGTTAGTTAACCCACAGTCGTAGGAATCTTTGGCAAAAATATCTTGGAATTCCATTAGGATTTCCTTTAGCTGTTGCCGCTCAGCATCGTTGGAGCAACCGTCAGCTAAAGATATTTGCTCTTCTAGCCTTTCCTGAAATCCTAGAAAGATTTCAGGCTGGCCTATCTCATAAGCTTCTTCAAGCCTAGAAGTTAGGTCAGTTCGGTGTTGACTTACCTTTTTGTCGTCGTGATACTCTTGTGATTCCTGCTTTTTGAGCGGATGATCGAAGGTGATTGCTGCTTCTTCGATTCTACACGAGCCTTCTTTGACGTTGAAGGGATATACAGATAGGATAGTAAATAATCATTCTGGAGAGGATGGAATAGTTGATCGACAATTTCGTCCTCCGTTAAGTATTCTTCAGGGATGAGACCTATAATTTGGTTTTGGAA